ATAGATGTTCTTGTGATGATGACTTCCAGATTTTGGGGAATAATAGATGTTGAATTTTAGATGTTAAAGAATTGGTCTTTATTTAATGAGTTTAAGTCTTCCGCATTACTTTCTGTTGATATTATATTGAAATGTTAAGGTTAGATTGGTTGGTTCGCTCACATAGGAGGGTAAGTGTGGGTGTCAGTCGCAACCAGGTTTGGGTCGTGACAATTGCATTCATCAATGATTTCATTTTTGATTTGAATTGTTCGTTTATATATGTTATATATATTACTTGTTGCAATATATGTTATTTAAAAATTTAGAATAAAATATTATTTTATAAAATGAAGGATTTGATGAGAATAAATTTTATATTACATGAAAATTATATAGATTATAGGGTGATAATTTGAAATAGAAAAGTAAAATTTGAATACAAATCATAATATAATATTGAGGAAAGAAAAAAATATCATTTTTTTAGAAAGTAAAAAAAATAGAGAATTGAGTTAGAGTTAATTATCTAATTTTTTTTAAAAAAAACTCTATATTTGAAGAGTGAAATATAGAAAATAGAATCGAAAAATAGAGTACCATACAAAAATTTTAAGAGGCAAAAGCTAATAAATACCAAACATACCCTAGTCATACAAGCTATATGGTGTTGGGATGAAAGAAACAGGTTGGTCGTCCCTATTAAGTCAACCTAAAAAGGTTGATTTTGTGTGTTTTACGCGTCTATCTTTAGATCTTTGAAGTTTCCGCAACTTTATGTGTAAATACGAACTCAGTATATGTTAATACATTTGTCTTGATTTAAATATTTTGAATTATTAATTTTTATTATTTATAATACTTTTTATATAAATTTTAAATAATATATATTATTTCTTGTCCCAATTATGTGAACACATATAAAATTTTGAGCTAAAATTTTAATATGTTATTAGAATATTTTACATAGTTAATTATCGTCTTTTCTTTCTCTTTTGTAATTTTAAATAATAAATTTCACTCTCTGTAAATTCTAAAATTTGATCCAAGCTCCTCTTTTATTCCCTTTATCGTAATTTTTGTAAAGAAAGTTCCCCTTTTATAAATAATGAAATATAACCCTAAGTTCACTCTCTGTAAATTCTAAAATTTGATCCAAGCTCCTCTTTTATTCCCTTTATCGTAATTTTTTTAAAAAAGTTCCCCTTTTATAAATAATGAAATTTAACCCTAAGCTCCTCTTTTTTCCTCTTATTATATATAGAGAGAGAAAGAGAGAGAGAGAGATAGGAATCAACAATAATTTAATCAATAGATTGAACTCAGAATATATTTCTTCGACAGTTCTTGAATTATTTGTCGAGGATCAATCAAAAACAATCCATCTCTCTGTAGCTGGTTAAAAAATATAAGGGTAACTAGTCATGAGAATCTTCGACTTGAGGTATATTATTTTGATGCTAATTAACATCTTCAAATCCACTTCTTCTGATTGGGATCCTTTCCATTTATTATTATATTATGATTTTGATCCAATATTATTTAGTTTCATCATACACATAAATAAAATTCTTTTACTCATATCACTTTCCTTTATTTTCTCCATCATTTCTATTAGAATAATCCACATGACTAATTATTCTAATCGTCCTATAAATATAAAAATACAATTTGGAACTTTTTCCAAGTTCTTTAAAATCTTATGTATAATCACACTTTTACTCCCACAAGTGTTGTTTTGGTATATTTTGTTCATTATTATTTTATTTTCTTTATTGTTCATGTCTTGCCCTAATTGGATTTCTAATTTATGTGAATGGACTCTTCACATACTCTCAACAATTCCTGTCCTTACAATTTTTATCTGTGCTCAACTTGATAACAATGATGAGAATTACCTACTACCAATTCACAGGACACAACCTACTATCACAGATGGCACTGACACAGGTATCGAGTAATTTTTGTTGCGTTCGTTTAAGGGTTGATCAAGATAAATACATAGACATACATCATTTTCCTCTATCAGAATGGTCTCGTGAAGTTGTTCACGAATCAAAGTGTGAATGCACTTTCAAAGTCTTTCACGCTCTTTTTGATCGAAAGCAGGGTGAGCAAATTATGTATTTTGTTTGTGTGTTCTATCCTTTTCCCTCTATTTTTTTCTTCACAATTTTGTCTACATCCACTAGAAATTAATTTATGACTTGAGGTACATTACGTTCGTCAAGGGTTGCTCAAGACTTCATGAGCAATAAAGTCGTCATTTTTTTCTTTCATAATGTTTTCGTAAAATTGTTCAGTATGAATTTTACTTTTGAAATATTGTACGCTTTTTTTGATCGGAAACAGGGTGGGCAAATTATGTATTTTATTTGTGTGTTATACACTTTTTTCTTTGTATTATTTTTTCACAATTTTAATTTGTCTACATCCCCTAGAAATTAATCAAAGGTATGTAATTTTGTTATTCATTTCACACATTTTAATTAAATTTATGTCGCTAAAGCTCTTTGATCAAGTTGTAATCCATTTAATTAATTAATCATTATTTAATTTATTGGCCCTTGTTTCTTTATTTACCTTGAGGGAGATGAACGTGAGTAAATACAAAGAAGAAAACCAAAAAATGATTTTCTCGTAAAATTCTATAAAATTATAATTATTCGATCAGAATGATAAACGAAAAAAGAATAAAAAATATTCTTAAACTCTATTAAATGAACAAAAATATATTTTTTTAAATATTTTTTTAGAGATTAAGATGTTCACATTGTGCAAAATATCTAATTCTAAGTGCCTATATTTTGACGGTTAAAAGAACAAAACGAAAAATATCTAGATTTGCTAGCTTTGTATCTGCTATCATTATTATTAGTAAGGCTGTCAATTGGACAGGATCGGATCAACTTGACGATTTTATTAGATTTGGTATTTGAATTGATCCTTATTATTAGAATCGGATTTTATTGAACTATATACAAATTTAATTTTTTTTTACAAAATATTTCAAATTGAGAAATATCATTTTCTTACTATCAAATTATAAATATGTGCGGTACATTTAATATGAAAAGAATCATTATCGATTAGAGAAAGTCTACATTTTAAATAATTAATTATTTTTAAATTATTCAAAGCATTATCTAAAGTGACACTCATTATTTATGACATATTTCATAAAATTATAAAATAGAGCTTATTTTTGTTGCTATATAAGAATCGATTTTAATTTCTTCAATATATTGAAGAAATGAAAAAGGCAAACCACAAATAACATTTATTTTAACTAAATTTATACGATCTTTTTCTTTACTATATGTGAGGTGTGTGCTTCGGCCGACTGAGCTAGTCATATTTAATACACTTTGAACCATATTAGAACCTCCAATTCCTATAGAATTTTAAGGTATGGGTATTCCATTTCTATTGGCTTTTTCTATATCATCTAGGTGAACAAATTCTTTATTACATTTTATCAAATGAGTTCTTAAAGATCGTCTTTTTAGACATATTAGGTAAATTGAAACGATACAACAAAAATAGTTAACCATATAATTATGTAAGGATTTTAAAGGACATCGCTTATACAAAATTTCTCGCAGCAACAGTGGTTTAAATTGTGTTTTTCTCTCTTAAATTTTAGCTAAAAAACGTAGGGTCGTTATTAAATACCTATGGACCACATTAATTCATTCAAAATACCTTTTATTTTAGAGTTGAAATAAATTTTACTTTATTTGAACCCTACCGACAGTTGCACGAATTGCACTGGTTATTGTGCTTAAATTCTTTGAGTCCTTTATCAATTAGAATTATATTTAGAGAAAAAAATATTGTTGACTCTCTCTATTTATATATTTGTGACTTTGAGTTTCTTAAAAAAAAATTAGCTCATGTTTATCGTTAATCAACATCTCGAATCTCCATAGTATTTTTGTTTTACTATTCTTTATTTTATTATGTGCTTGAAGTTCCACTTTTATTTATTCATAATAATTATTTTATTTTATTCTATTTGATTGTGGCAAATTTTCCTCTTGAGTCATTTTTATTTTTTGAATAATGAATTATGCATGCGTTAAGAGAGATTTAGAAGCTAATTAATTGCACATTCAAGTTACTTAATTAAGTGGAAGGATATATAATTACTTTAACGAAACTAAGAATAAGCTCAAAGCTTGAAACTAGCATAAAATATACATATAGACAAAACCCAAATTTTGTTGTATATATTGTATTGTTAAGTTTATTGTTAGGTAATAATAAAAAGTCATTTTAAATAACGATTTCTTTGGAATGAAAAGTCTCATTTTTAATCCTTCACCTTACTGTTTTACAGTAAGTTTACCATGTATTTACTTTTTTATAAGTGCTTTCTTAAAATTATTGATATTTAACATTATACAATGACAGAAAATTAAATAATATATTCAAATATTACATTCATTAAAATAATACAATACGATACATACAATACAATACATAACAACCATCCAAATAGAGTACCTCAAAACTTGGAGAGGATTTCATATGCTAGAGTGTTTGGTGAAATGAATGTAATTGTTCCATTGATAAAGCTGAAATTTACGATTACATTATATGTTATGACAAATATTCAGATACACATAATTTTATAAAGATTTTGAGTAGCTCAGTAAATGAACAATAGTAACAAATTAACTATTTTTGATATAATCCTCTCACGTGATACAAACAATATCTTCATATCGAGAATGAGTCTGCTTTATTTTTCTTTTCGTAGAATTAAAATTAAAATTATTACTTTTATGAAATATAAACTTATGTGCCAAGTTTTAAATTATAAAACAAAAATAATTGAAATCACAAATTTAAAATCGACATCTTTAAGGAAAACTTGTGTTAGGAATCAAAATTTGAAGTTTAAATTTTTATTCAAATGTCATTAGCCAAGTGCCAACACAAATTTCAAATCGAAACTTCAAATTTGAAGTCCAAATTGCATGGCCCAATGGGTCAAATATCTGAAATTTAAACTCATTTATTTGGACAGGATTTGGCATGATTTTGGTGGTTACGATGGGTTTAAATTCGTGTATATTTATGTGTAATAGTTATATTACTCTATACCACTTTATATCTCATGTATATCTTTACGTATAACAATTTTTTTTTGTGTTATATACATTGATACAAATAATGTGAATCCGAGCAACCTCAAGCTCAAACAATTCATCTACTATCTCTCGTCTAATTACATTAACCCGCGACAGATAAGGCAGATTCAGAATTTAAAAAATACTACTTATCGGATTAAAAAAAATATTGTTATACATATCAAGTGTATTTCTTGATAGAAGTACAAGACTTTCAATTTAAGTCACTGTGTTCTGTTGAACATGTAATCGATACTCTAGCTCCATCTTCTAGATGGAAGATTTGTTTATCGTCTTAGTTTTCAAATATATATTTGTTTCTGTATATGTATTATTTAGAAAAATTAGAGCTTCCTTAGGGTGGCGAGAACTGAATTGATCTGTACTCTCATGAGCATTAAAATTTAAAAGGTAAATATGGTTAAGGACGATATAGAACAAGCAAAAATAGATGAAAAAATTATGTGATACAACAAATTAAGGCCCTATTTTTATACATGAATACAATATATACATATGTACTTATTTCAATCATGATAGAGGTTTTGGGCGTACCAATATAAACATAACTTAAATATAAAACACAAAATAAAAATAGGTTTAGGTGGGATTTGAACCCTAGTCTAGAGGATGGTATTTCAACCTTCTACCCATTGCACAAGAGTACTTTTATATTTTTTTATGAGTACACTGTTAACTATATCTTCGTTTCTACCAGTTTTTTTAAAATAGACATACATATATACATATGATTTTTTGGAAGTTACCAGATACACGTGCATCCCACGGTAAAAAATGGTTACGCCCCTTTCTGTATCTAGCTTCATGCGAAATCCTAAGACTTTGAGTCTTTTAAGTATTTAACCTCATGAATATATATATTTCACTCATAATATCTATTTTAAAATTTACATATATATCAAACTTAAATGTTTTATCATTATTTCACTTATGAAATCGCTTTTTCTAATTAATGATACATAATTTATTTATGATATTTATGAAAAATCTGTAGAGGTTGAACGTTCAAAAGTTCAAATTCCGCAAAATATTCCTTGAGTTTGAAATAATTTATAGCAATACTTTGCTTGAATTTGAATATAGTGATGCAGTCTTAAAATTTTTGAAGCATGAAGCCAAGGTGCGCGCTGGGACTTGTCAAAATGGACAAGTAAATACGAATAACGAAAAGAAAAAATACGGACAAATAAATAAAAACAGAGGGAGTAATAAATACAATACGTAATTCACTAAACTATCCCCCGTCTAATAAATGATCTCAAAAATAGAGTACTGCTAAGTTCATGAAGTGTAAGTGTATAGTGTAAGTGTATAGTCAAAAATAAAAATTAATTTTGAGACGAAAAAAATAATATCTTTTTCCTTATTAATTTAATAATCAGTCTTAACTTAGATTAAGGTGATTGACTTATTTTCATGACTTCTATTCTTTTCATATAAAATAGTCAGTTTAACTTAAATTTTTTTTTAAAAAAAATAGTGAGGTGATTGGCTTATTTCATGTCTCAAGCCCAGAAATTAATACTATAATATACATTAGATGGTGAGCATTGGATCCCCAATTGCCAACATTTTTAGGCCTAATAGAATATTATTCCAAGCCATCCTTATTATAAAGTTTTATTGGGGTTTATTGATGATAAATAAAATATACGATAAAATATTTTGATGCAAACAAATAAAAATATATGGAAAAAAGTGGATGACCTACCAACTTTTTGTTTTATTGATCTTCACTAATTTGTTAATTGTCATCGATAGAGTATCTACGACGAGAATCTTAAAAAATTTCTTTCGACTTTTATATTCGTCTATTTTATCATTATTGTCTCATTTTTATCTATAAAAATTAAGCTAAAAATATATGTTTAATTATATCGTTTTCTAGATAAATAAAAATTCAGTTTCGTTGGTGATTTATTAATAAGTATAGCAATGGTAATAATTTCGAGTCTCTTTCGCATTATGCTAAAAAGGGTATATTTTTAGAAGTAATTTTTAAAATAAACTTTTCATAAAAGTGCTATAAGAAAAAAAAATCAACTTGTGTTTGATTTTTGAAAAATGCTTTTGATCAGTAAAATGTGTTTAGGTAATCTATTTTTAAAAAAGTATTTTTGAAAATCAAATTATGAAAAAGGACAAGTTATTAATGTACTTCTTATAAGATTATTTATAGAGAGAAATATTTATTATAATTTTTAATTATTTTTTTAATTAAATTATAATATACACATTCAAATTTTCTATCAATATTACACATAACTAAATAAAAAATAAATTAAAACTGACATAATTTTTTAAATACAATGATTTAAAATATAATTAAAAATATCAAACAGAATTAATTTAAAATCATTTC